TGAGACCAGGCGCCTCGAGAGTAGTGTATGCTTGCATGTATCCTTGATGTCCGCCTCTGAGACCAGGCGCCTCGAGAGTAGTGTATGCTTGCATGTATCCTTGATGCCCGCCTCTGAGACCAGGCGCCTGGGGAGTAGTGTACGCTTGCATGTATCCTTGATGTCCGCCTCTGAGACCAGGCGCCTGGGGAGTAGTGTACGCTTGCATGTATCCTTGATGTCCGCCTCTAAGACCAGGCGCCTCGAGAGTAGTGTACGCTTGCATGTATCCTTGATGTCCGCCTCTAAGACCAGGCGCCTCGAGAGTAGTGTACACTTGCATGTATCCTTGATGTCCGCCTCTAAGACCAGGCGCCTCGAGAGTAGTGTACGCTTGCATGTATCCTTGATGTCCGCCTCTGAGACCAGGCGCCTCGAGAGTAGTGTACACTTGCATGTATCCTTGATGTCCGTCTCTAAGACCAGGCGCCTCGAGAGTAGTGTACGCTTGCATGTATCCTTGATGTCCGCCTCTGAGACCAGGCGCCTCGAGAGTAGTGTACGCTTGCATGTGTCCTTGGTGTCCGCCTCTAAGAACAGGCGCCTGGGGAGTAGTGTACGCTTGCATGTATCCTTGATGTCCGCCTCTGAGACCAGGCGCCTGGAGAGTAGTGTACGCTTGCATGTATCCTTGATGTCCGCCTCTAAGACCAGGTGCCTCGAGAGTAGTGTACGCTTGCATGTATCCTTGATGTCCGCCTCTAAGAACAGGCGCCTCGAGAGTAGTGTATGCTTGCATGTATCCTTGATGTCCGCCTCTAAGACCAGGCGCCTAGAGAGTAGTGTACGCTTGCATGTATCCTTGATGTCCGCCTCTAAGACCAGGCGCCTAGAGAGTAGTGTACGCTTGCATGTATCCTTGGTGTCCGCCTCTAAGACCAGTCGCCTTGAGAGTAGTGTACGCTTACATGTATCAATGATGTCCGCCTCTAAGACCAGGCGCCTGGAGAGTAGTGTATGCTTACATGTATCCTTGATGTCCGCCTCTAAGATCAGGCGCCTCGAGTGTACTGTACGCTTACATGTATCCTTGATGTCCGCCTCTAAGATCAGGTGCCTCGAGAGTAGTGTACACTTGCATGTATCCTTGGTGTCCCTCTCTGAGAACAGGCGCCTGGGGAGTAGTGTACGCTTGCATGTATCCTTGATGTCCGCCTCTGAGACCAGGCGCCTGGGGAGTAGTGTACGTTTGCATGTATCCTTGATGTCCGCCTCTGAGACCAGGCGCCTGGAGAGTAGTGTACGCTTGCATGTATCCTTGATGTCCGCCTCTAAGAACAGGCGCCTGGGGAGTAGTGTACGTTTGCATGTATCCTTGATGTCCGCCTCTAAGACCAGGCGCCTTGAGAGTAGTGTACGCTTGCATGTATCCTTGATGTCCGCCTCTAAGACAAGGCGCCTTGGGAGTAGTGTACGCTTGCATGTATCCTTGGTGTCCGCCTCTAAGAACAGGCGCCTTGAGAGTAGTGTACGCTTGCATGTATGAATGAATGATTGTGATGAATTAGATAAATAATCCATTTGGAGTGCCAGGATTAAACGTGACTGAAAGAATGATTGTGATGTAGTAGATATATAATCTATCTTGAGTGCCAGAATTAAATGTGGCCGAATGCTTGATTGTGATGAAGTAGATAAATAATCCATCTAGAGTGCCAGGATTAAACGTGACTGAATGCATGATTGTGATGAAGTAGATAAATAATCCATCTAGAGTGCCAGGATTAAACGTGAATGAATGCATGATTGTGATGAAGTAGATAAATAATCCATCTAGAGTGCCAGGATTAAACGTGACTGAATGCATGATTGTGATGAAGTAGATAAATAATCCATCTAGAGTGCCAGGATTAAACGTGACTGAATGCATGATTGTGATGAAGTAGATAAATAATCCATCTAGAGTGCCAGGATTAAACGTGACTGAATGCATGATTGTGGTGAAGTAATTCATATATTACCAGACATGTTGTGGTAATGGCATTCGATGTGGATCGTTTATGTTTTTCACATATTTTGCCTTAATTGATATCATGGAATACTTTGCTGCAAAGTATGTTTTATGACATTAACAGAGGTTATGATTATTATGCCAAAGTAAATACATTTATTAACCCAAGTTGAAGTAAGCATGTGTCAACATCGCCATAATTGCTAGACTCACCGGAATATAGAATGATAAATACATTGGAAGGATAGATAAAAGTGATTCCAATGCATTCGTTTGGCCAACAAAATTTCCCCATTGCATTCTTTTTGTACCACGGACTTGTATAACGGTTATATAGGGTCCGTGGTTGTACCAATGATATGATTGTTGAAATGAAATAAAAGATCAAATTTACAAACAAAGATAAGAATTAGCTGTGGGACGCATATTCGGCGTCATCACAATCACCATTTGTTTGAAACTGGACTTTTATAGTCAGTAAACGCCCTAGCATAGGGAAAATATTGTAAAGAAAAACGATCAGGCTTTTGCGAGTTCAACTCCATGCATGGTTGTGACCGCCTGGCGCGGTGCGGAGTCTGGGACCCAGTCGACAGAGTGCGCGAAAGAGGGTCGCGTCAGTATACGTCCCTTGACCATGGTATGCCTCAAGCTCCTTCCCAGCGCGTGACACCTTCGTTACACTCTCGGTAACATGAGATAGTATAGAGAGCTCCGCGAACGGGCCATCGCTCACTCTCCTACCCAGAGTTCAATGCGGCCGGCAGCCAGCTAGCATGGTACCTCTGCCACAGGCCAGCGCCATGTCAGTGTGCGAGCTCAGGCTATGTTACCGCTTATAGATGAAAACCAAGCCTCGCTTTCACACAGGTTATAAATAGATTCAATGCTAAAGGCCCCATAGTGACGTCACAGCCCCTGTCACAGGAAGTGAAAAATCCTGGGCTCTACACCTACCTCATATAAACCTTTTATTACAAATCCTATATGTACATGTAATGTTTTCATATATTTCCCATTTCCACATATGTCAATTTACCAAAATAATACCTAAATATAACCCATCCATGCACTGTAGAGGCTGTGAGAACATGTTTATTGAAGTCACGTGACCTCAAAATATTCTCTCACAGGGTAGAAGTCATTCACAAAAATATGGGTTCCATCTATTTTAAAGGGAGGAGGGGCCAATTCCTATGTTTCCTGCAATCACTGATCACTAAGCTTACTATATCCAACTTAAAACAGGAGGAGCTACAAATGTAAACATGTTTTTAATTGGATAAAAGACAGTCCCCAGTTTCTCCCTCGAAGTGACCAAGAAGTCCCACACAGAGCGGCCAGAAACATAAATAAATCTGGCATCTTACTGATAGCATCACATTCTAGTGACAGATATGTTACTTTAGGGCAGTTTAACACCGTTTGTTTAAATTTGAGTTGACTGATATGTCATTGAGGGACTAATTTGTGTGTCAGGGGTCTAAACTGATGGTTTACATAATTATAATTATATGGTCTCTGTTTACAGGTTGTGGTGTTTGACATTTGGTTCTTTCTGTCTTAAGCTGTCTGGACATAGTTTGTCAGTGTTATCACACTGAACAGACATTTGCGCTTAAATAAATCAGAACTTAAATCTCAAATATGTATTGGTTTGTTAGTTTTAATTAGGGAAAGTAACCCTTCACACCACCGGAAGTTGTCAAGATTTTAGTCACGTGACCTCTATCAGTAAAATGATTGGCTCAAACCTATCGTCTGCTGTAGCAGTATACTTCTTTTACTGTTGTGGTGGACGATTACTTTTGGATTATACCTTGGCTATTGCATTTTTATGCTCGGTCATGGCTAAATTGTGTGTTTCAACTGTTATTTTCTTGGAACTCACTTGGAATACCAGTCTCTTACTAACTATTTATCATGATGCGACTTCCAAGTGACACCACTGGAGATTTGTCAAGAAAGGTATGAACATATTGGAATTCTGGCACCTCTATAACTAATGAATTTTCAAGTGGAAAATATCAAGAGTACATTTATACCAATAAGGCTTGTGTATGCATTAATATTATATAGAAGTTTAAACGCTAGTAGAATTTTGCATCTTGTGAATATATGTGCTTTTATGCCATCCAACAAGTCAGAAAAAATAGAAACAAAAGAAAAAATAATGGCATTCCACCTGAGAAAAATGTAAGACATCGTTACATAATGGTAGCCAATGTCGTCCTTGTCAGGTATGCATACAGTTGGGACAATTTAAAAAAAGATGATCCTCATCATGAAATGAATAAACCTTATTATCCAGGTGAAAAGCATTAATATCAAGTGAATATATTTTGTAACATGGAAAGCTAATAAAAGTACAAAAAAGTTGTTTCAGTAGAAGCCTCTGTTTAAAAACTCCAGTTGACAGAGACTATAGAGTGAATATGTCATCTGCTAGCAAATTGTATTTACTGTTTGTAGGTCGCACTTGAGAACGAGGCTTGGTTTTTACGGGAAAAGATATCAATTACAAAATTGAGGCTAAGCTCGCACACTGTGTGACGATTCGTCACATCTTTCACAGTCCATTCAAGATATTGCATATGCTTTTCATCCGTTTCACGTTTGCTAAGTCTACACATTTTCATAAACAAATGTCAAAGAATGGTTAACTTTCATTGAGAAAGTATGCAAATACGTAAAAATCTACTTGTTTTTGCGTAGTTATCCTATGTTTACATTGGTTGTACGGCTCCACGTGCTGTCATCGAAGCCCAACGGAGAGCTAGCGACACGGTCACTTTGATGCATAAATATATATTGTCATGCAACTCACTGTCGCAGTTGTAGTAGCATATCTATATAGTTATGCAAAACAGTAAGTGAAGCGCCCCCAAATCCTTGCATTAGTCTGTTCTATACTGATTTCTGAAAAAGCGCGTTTGTTTACAAACAAGAGAAAATATATGCAAATTAGCCTGTGGCAGTGGTGTTATGCTGAGTCACCACTGCGACGGAGTGTGGCCATCGCTGTGAACGGGCCATCGCTGTGAGGAGCTTGGGTCTGCCTCTTGCAAGGGAGGCGACTTTTCCCATTGCGAAAAGGCGACGATCAAGTGCGTGGGAGCAGGAAGTGTCAGCAGGTTGTCATACATCAAGTGATCAGAAGAAGATGGCTGTATTTTTAGGAATGGTTCCTTTCCAATGACAGCGGGTAAGGATGTGTGTCATGACAATGTTTCTTTTATCACTGGCATTGTCATACAACGTTGAACATTGTACATCATACATCATAACCTGGATCCCCTCACAAAATACTCAATATTGACAATAGACATGCGTAGTACTTCATCCTTGACATCGATCGGGTTTATGTGTCGCTTTCCAAAGTGGAATGGTTACATATTTCTGCAACGATATCTGCAACGCAGTACATCGTTGGTACAGAAGCAGCCGAAAAAATCAACTTTACCATTTATGCCAGTGATGGCCTTGCCTCCTAATACCATTTGACCTAAACTGACCATTACACATGGAAAGTAGGAAGGATTATATTATGTGAATTTTTTTATGCATTTTTGTGCTTGACATGATCAAATTGTGAGTACTTCAAGATTTGTAGAGAATCTCACCCGAGTGTCTTAAATTTTGATATCAAATATATCAACATGAGTTGATAAAAAGAGGAAAGCCTAAGAGGCATGGCAAGTTTTTCAACTTTTATCAATGAGTAGGTAGATATCGCTTGATCTCACCCAAGCGATATCTCCTGTAGGAACCAGTTTTGGATGACAAATGCAGATGTTCCTGTTTTCTTTTACAGAAGTATGTCATTAATTTTTGGGAAAATCATGGTATGGTCATCAGAGATGTGAAATGTTATTTATTTAGACTAGTTTATGCATCTATCATGTCTGTGTTTCAACTTTGAAAACTTATCATGTAATAGATCCTGGGTGCAACCTGGTTTTGTCCGGTGCATCAAGGTTTTCATGTATCTTGTCATAGATGAAATTAAGTTCCTTATATCAAGCCTTGTGTATCATAGTGCCATAGAGATAATAGGGATGTCGTGAACAGGTGTCCCACGGGTATCGTATCTGCAAAGTTTGCCGAAGGTGTACTGGTGAATCGTGACATCACTGATGGAGATTTCATTCACTGGATGTAGAGACTTGGATTAGAATGTCTTCTCAGCTCAGGTGGTTGGGCTTGCTGATGTGGTTGCGTGTCATTTTACTCTCACCTCTTAGGTGTTGCTCATTCTTGTAGTATTCTTCTCATTTACTGATCTGGACCCAAGTATTTACTGATCTCCCTCTTCTCATTGACTGACTCGGACCCAAGTATTTACTGATATCCATCTTCTCATTTACTGATTCAGACCCAGCATCTGCTGGTCACCGAGCTGGAATATTGCTGACTATTAGAGTACTTATTCGTCATAAATGTCAACCTTGATATAATGATGATGATGATCAGTTGGATAATCTAAATACCATAACCTTGATTATGTCTAGCATGGACCATGTGAGGAGTGTGCTTGAACTGGCTGTATCCGGGTCACCCCTCAGACACTACTGACTGCTATTTCCTACACTTGAACTCTCAGTAACATCTAGGTTGCCAGCATGGCTGGTAGTAGCGGAGACCACAGGAACATGATGTACCGTATTCGACGAAATAAGCGCCCAGGGCACTCTGAAAATTAGAAATAGGGGGCGCTTATTAGAATAATATTTTGAGTTGAAAGATCGAAAATTTCGTTGTTTATGCTAACAGCCTGAAATGTTTACATACGACATATATTTTTCAAGAATTTAATTGTCCATAATTAAGGGTGATATAACACATGCGTGCGTATTATAAGTCTTGTGTACATTGATCAATCGGAAGGGGTGCTGATTGGGATTGTTCACTAGCAAATATATTAGCAAATGTCGCTGTGGGCGCTTATTAGAGTGGAGCGCTTATTACGTCGAATACGGTAATTAATATCCTAAAACTCACAGACGAAGCCAACGGTCACCACTACTGCTAGTGCAGTATCATTATCATCAGCAGATGACCTGCTTAAGTGAAGGTGAAAATTTTCTTCAGTGACTTTTGCTTCTTGTTTGTCAATCAATGAATCTTTATTTCAAGTACTGAAAAGGCCATAGACCAAAAGTACATATTTACATACAGTAGCAATGGGTGCAGTAGGAATTACATATATCGTAACTAAATATCACATCTGCATGTATAATGCTGAGGAGCTGATGTTCATTGCATGGCAAATATACATTGCAAGAAATTTGTGACTGTTTCATTTTGAACATGTTGAAGTGACATGAGGATATAAAATTTGTCTATTCTAGGATTCAGATATAAATATGTATGTATGTATTTCAGCTGGGACAGGTAACTTGGGTTTGGTCGGGTTGGTCCTGAGTAGGACCCGGGTACCCATAGGACTACCCGGATGCATGGTTTGTCACTTGATATATATTATTTGTTTTTCTCTATAGTAGATAGATCTATAGGCATGATAGGCCCTATCGCCAATTCAGAAAACAAGCAAGACTGAAGACTGTAGTGAAAGTTTATATCAAAGTTCAGTTCATATTTCATAGCGTGTTGAAGTCTCACTTGTGACAGATTGACTGCAATAAATAAGAAAATATAGCATGACATAATGCTATTTTACATTGTGATACTATTACAACCTTATGTAACAAACTTCACCAATAAAGATATATTTTTACAAAGTCTACAACTTTGAAATTCTGGAGAACCGAAACATGTCAGTCAAGTCACATAACCAATATTTCAATAAATAAGCATTTACTGTTAAATAATAAGTTTGAAAAGCCCTCACAAAACAACCTGTTGCAAAATCTATTTTTAACACCTCGTGCAAAGCGAGCGAGTTTTGAATGCAGCCAACAGCTTCGAAAGCCTTGTGAAAATACAGACTAAATAACGTGACTGAATACTATAGAAAGTGCTGCTTATAAGTTAATAATACTGACACAAAATGCTTCCAAGCAAGGACTGCTAATAAAGTAATTCATACCGTTTGTAGACCATCTATTCTTCCAAAAGAATAACCCACATGGCAATGATGGCAGGCAGGCCAGCGACATACTTCCAAAATAAAACCTACCAGCAGTTATCCCCCTTTGTAACCACGAAAATTGCTACCCGCTAAAAAACAAACTTGACAATAAATCACTATTTGCACTAGGGTTAATCATAGCAATTCTCCGACAATCTATCGGGAACACATAAATACCAAATAATAATTTTATCATTTTGGCCGTAACATTATTTGATGACAAAAAATATCTAAAACTCTTGGTGACACCATAAGTCACTAATAAATATCCCATTTCTTTCTGACAATGCACCCATTCCTTCTGACTTTTATATGTTTGAATAAAGATAAAACTTCATACATTAATCTTCAGTGTATGCATGAGCGGATCATCTTACACGTGTATCTGAAAACATTTTGACAGGGCTAAGGTCAAACTTTTCCAAATCGGACAGTTTGTACCTATCTCTAAATATCTACAGCGGGTACCCGGGTAGGGTCGGGTAATAGGGTGGCGGGTACCCGGGTAGTAAATTTGGACCCGTCCCAGCCCTACTTTATATTCTTTTCTGATATTTGCATACAGTGGACAGACTAGCAAAAAATTGTATTCATCTTCTATTGCATGGCAAGTACAATATTTACGCAATCTGTTTTCCCTTGATATCCCTAAATGTCAACCTTTTTCTATTAGAATATCATGAGAGCTACATCTGAAACGGGATAGTGCTGTTCGGAATTTCTTAACATTTATATCCAAAAGATATTTTTCAGAAAGAATGAATGATTTAAAACACTTGTAACAGGTGTAATGCTTTAACTTATAGTGCAAACATCGTGAAGAGTGCCTCTTTTGAAAATACATATCTTTTAGTCTTCGTTTTAAATTATATACGAAACAACCTGGTTCTGTTACATGTTGCTCTCTCCAAATGTACTCATACCCGCAAGATTGGAGTATCTTTCTGACACCCGAGGCCCAGTTATTTTTACCTCTGCTATCATAAAGAATCATCATGTTATAGCATTTCTTTGGGAATCTGGTACTTGGCATTTTGAGCAATTTTATCCAATATTTTATTACTTTTATGTAACTAAATAGAAAACATAGGGTATATCCCAATTTCTTGTTTGTCATGATTGTCTTTCATAACATCTGAGGGGCAGTCGGGTAGCTGAGTGGTTAATGCGTTCGCTCATCACGCCGAAGACCCGGGATCGATTTCAGGGTACATTGTGTGAAGCCCATTTCTGGAATCCCCCGCTGTGATATTGCTGGCATATTGCTAAAAGTGGCGTAAAACCACACGCACTCACTCATAACATCTGACATACAGGGCTCGATTTAGCTATGTAAAGCATACGCCAGTGCAACATGTTATTCAAAAGAGCAACCAAATATTTATGTCAACATGCATCTGGTGCAAGTTAAATCCAGTTCCTTAAATCAAGCCCTGGACATTGATGAAGCAACAACATTACAGGTGCGAGCAACTTGGATGTTCTGCTGCCAGCGACTACTGCCAGTGTCACATAAATTAATCATTAGACCCAGTAAATACTTGGGTCCGAGTCAGTAAATGAGAAGACGGAGATCAGTAAATACTTGGGTCCGAGTCAGTCAATGAGAAGACGGAGATCAGTAAATACTTGGGTCCAGATCAGTAAATGAGAAGAATACTACAAGAATGAGCAACACCTAAGAGGTGAGAGTAAAATGACACGCAACCACATCAGCAAGCCCAACCACCTAAGCTGAGAAGACATTCTAATCCAAGTCTCTACATCCAGTGAATGAAATCTCCATCAGTGATGTCACGATTCACCAGTACACCTTCGGCAAACTTTGCAGATACGATACCCGTGGGACACCTGTTCACGACATCCCTATTATCTCTATGGCACTATGATACACAAGGCTTGATATAAGGAACTTAATTTCATCTATGACAAGATACATGAAAACCTTGATGCACCGGACAAAACCAGGTTGCACCCAGGATCTATTACATGATAAGTTTTCAAAGTTGAAACACAGACATGATAGATGCATAAACTAGTCTAAATAAATAACATTTCACATCTCTGATGACCATACCATGATTTTCCCAAAAATTAATGACATACTTCTGTAAAAGAAAACAGGAACATCTGCATTTGTCATCCAAAACTGGTTCCTACAGGAGATATCGCTTGGGTGAGATCAAGCGATATCTACCTACTCATTGATAAAAGTTGAAAAACTTGCCATGCCTCTTAGGCTTTCCTCTTTTTATCAACTCATGTTGATATATTTGATATCAAAATTTAAGACACTCGGGTGAGATTCTCTACAAATCTTGAAGTACTCACAATTTGATCATGTCAAGCACAAAAATGCATAAAAAAATTCACATAATATAATCCTTCCTACTTTCCATGTGTAATGGTCAGTTTAGGTCAAATGGTATTAGGAGGCAAGGCCATCACTGGCATAAATGGTAAAGTTGATTTTTTCGGCTGCTTCTGTACCAACGATGTACTGCGTTGCAGATATCGTTGCAGAAATACTAATCTGTAAGTAATCGAGTCTGGACCAGGCAATCCAATGCGTAAATACTCAATGAAGTTTTTTTAGCATGCGTACAACGGAGCAGATTTCCGAAACACAATTAAGAGCTAATTTACTTCCTTAGTCAAGCCTATATATTTAGAACAGTAATATACATCTAAAACATTATTTATGTATTTTTATTCTTAAAATGTTCACTAATATTGGGGAAAACCCAATATAGTGATGAATGAAATAATATTGGTTACCCAATGAAAAATGTAATAACCCAATTAAAAAAGAAATCCTAGAGTAAAAACTCAATTGCTCAAAAAGTTATCTGGAGCTCTGGTACGATACAGTACAATACAGTACAATACAGTACAATACAGTGCCTTACCGTACAGTACAATCCAATACAAATTAGTTACAAGAAATTGCATATTATCGGTTCCGGGAGAATTACATTTGGTAAATCCTGGCTGTTTGCCTACTCTCAATATTAATTTGTGAAGAACATTAAAGAAATCAACATTATTATGTTGATGTTTTGTACTTATGTCCGAGATAATCTTCAGTTTCAAAACTTGATTTGTTGCAGCAGGATGAGACTGCAGCCATTGATTGTTCTAGTCTTGTCCATCTTGATTCATAACCTGGTGAGTACAAGCTTTGTAGTTAACAAGGAGATAATCAACATAAGTAACATATATGAAATGTTTCTATTAACTGAGTCATGAATTTTAAACAGAAGGTGAAGTTGAAAACTCTGAATCCACCATATCCAAAGTCCAGGGCAGAATAGGTCTCCAGTAGCAAACAACACAGGAATCACTTGCTGTTTGTCAACTCTCAGATTTCTCCTGTGGGATTCCAGGGCAGAATAGGCCCCCACACCTCAGACTTCTCCTGTGGGATTCCAGGGCAGAATAGGTCCCCAGTAGCTGACAACACAGGAATCACTCGCTGTTTGTCAACTCTCTGGCTTGTCTCCTGTTTGATTCCAGGGCAGAATAGGTCCCCACACCTTAGACTTGTCTCCTGTGTGATTCCAGGGCAGAATAGGTCCCCAGACCTTAGACTTCTCCTGTGGGATTCCAGGTCCCCACACCTTAGACTTGTCTCCTGTTTGATTCCAGGGCAGAATAGGTCCCCACACCTCAGACTTCTCCTGTGGGATTCCAGGGCAGAATATTGACCTTTTCTGCTTGTCTTCCTGCCCCAAGTACCTCAAATGTGTTGTAGAGTCAGCTAGTTAGGAGAATGATCATGATGAGTGACCTTATGGATCATGAACCATTGCTCAAACTGTCAACCACTGGCTTGGCTAATCATAGGTTGTTGGACATAGCTGGAATATTACTGACTCAGGTATGAAATAATATCTGCTCTCACTCATTCTTTTCTCTGTAGCAGTGTAGGGGTGCTCCAACCTGCCCTCGGGGCCAGATACTGTACAACAAGGATTCCCGCCATCTATGCTGCGTGCCCATAGTCTCACCAAACTATTGTGGACAAAGTGAGTAAATGTGAAGTCTTCACTGTGTAGAGTTGTGTCCCTTGGTTGTGCCAGGATAAACTGATTGTCAACGACAACACCTGAGTTTGTAAGCTTATTCCAAGCATCTAAGACAGCCATCATAAAAACTTCCCAGGTTTGCACACCGACTGTGTCTGACAGAGCTGCTTGTAGGTGTAGGCTGTATTTGAAAGGGGATGTGGGGTAGCCTAGTGGATAAAATGTACGTTTGTCACACCATAAACGTCTGAGACCTGCATCACTTCGGGCTTTTCACCCACATTAAGCTGACACGCCGTGATAATCCAAATACTGTGCAAAGTGGTGTCAAACCCTTCTCACTCAAAATATTCCATATATGATCATATTTATTTTGATACATTTTAGACAAAAGGATACAAAGATGTACAGAAGATGGAGAGCCTGATGTCTGTGTGGACTGTGAAGATGGAAAGGTGAATTTTTCCAACTCTACCTCTGGAGTCGTAGAGGAACGCTGCTTCAAGCCGCTTGGGTGTACTGAAGGTAAGCATCAAGTGAACGTCACAATTTCATTAAAATCAGGGGTGGATGGTAACTAAGTGGTTAAAGTGTCCGCTCATCGCACCAGATGCTTGTGTTAAGTTTCCATGGTACAATATGTGAAGCCCATTTCTGGTGTCTTACATCTTGCTGATAGCGGCATCAAACCCAACTCACTCACTCACTCATCATAATTGTAACAGATCATTTGCCTCTGAGAGAGTACCTTTCAGCAGGAAGGTCTGACAAGTCCACCTGATTGGTTGTTTGAGATGTTTTGTGGGGGGATGCTGATGTTGCAGACATGATTTAGAGTTGCCTAAGGACGAGCAGTTAATATCAGTTGTATCATTTTATTAGAAACAGTCAAACCTTGTTGTGTCGAACTTAAAATTCTTGGTTGTCTCAAATTCACCTCCTGGTCCCTGCAAATTCCTTATGAGGGCTTGATTTAAAGAACTTGATTTAACTTGCACGAGGTTGCACCAAACAAAACCTAGTAGTTGCACCAAACAAAACCTAGTAGTTGCACCAAACAAAACCCAGTTGCAACAAACAAAACCTAGTTGCACCAAACAAAACCTAGTAGTTGCACCAAACAAAACCCAGTTGCAACAAACAAAACCTAGTAGTTACACAAAACAAAACCCAGTTGCACCAAACTAAACCTTGTTGCACCGGACAAAAAACTGGTTGCGTCCTGTACCCATAAATTTATCAAAGTTGAAACTTGCACATAAACTTGAAGTACCCACATTTTGACTGTGTCAAGTCCTCAAAAGCAAGACAAATTACACATTAAAAGGATGTGACTGTCTTAGTCTGGAAAATAAGCCTAGAGGTATTGAATGTGTTCTAAGCTCGATGTTGTGTGGACGTGTAAGGGTTAGACACAAATCTCGAAGGGGGCACGGGTGGCCCAGTTGTCAAAGGCGCTGTGCAGAAACCTATGATTGTGGGTTTGAATCCCGGTTCGCCCAGATTATGTTTCTAGGTTTGTCAGCACCATACCCATGCTCGTGGGTTTCACCGAAGTGGTAAACGTCTGAGACCTGCATCACATTGGGCATTCCTCACTCACTCACTCACTCACTCACTCACTCACTCACTCACTCACTCACTCACTCACTCACTCACAAATCTTGAAAAAAAGTGACGTGCACTTGTTGCATGTAGACATTAATTTTAGGAAGCATTTTACAAGTGATAGGTTGCACTGGTACATGTTTTGTATAGCTAATTCGAACCCTGCCTCTATACATATCATCATTCATACTCATATCTGATGAACTGGATTGGTCAAATTCCAGGTGGTCTTGAATTCAAACATACAAACACATTTTCACTTCCTATTGTCAGCTCACTTCACACACAATTGACTGACATCCCTGGATTGCTGCAATCACATCAAAGTCAGGATCAAAACATTATATGTAGCAATCTCTCAAACCCTGGTTTTCTGAAATTCACTTTGTTCATCATATTCATTGCCTCGAACCTATGATACCCCAAGCTTTTATCCATGTCCTTATTAGCTCTACACGCGGTATGACTGTACTGTAAAGGTTAAGAAATATCATGAATGAATTATGTATTTGAACATTCTCATTAACATGATTAAAATCAGATCGTAGTTCTCGCTACCGCTAAACAAAGATCTGAGGACATCCCATTAGGGGTCACGTCAGAACGACCTTTCATCCGACCAATCACAGCGTCGCTTACCAGATCATGAAATTTGACAGTCGGATTGTGATTTCTAATCATGCATCCTTGAAAACTGTTTACACGGGGTATTCCGAAAGATAGTTACAGGGTTAACGACTGAATCCATACAATCTAGACCATCTGTCAGCCATTCCAGAATGTTCTTTTGTTCAGGTTTCAAAATATGTTTCGAAGTGTAGTCGCCAATTTGAAATTAGTGCTGTAAAGCATGAGTAAGCTGCCTTTTGATTGGCTAATGTCGATTTCTTGTCAGCCATTCCATTGGTCGGTCAAAGTTTGCGCAAGGTCGATCTGACATGGCCCGTAATGGGATGTCCTCAGATCTTTGTTTAGCGGTAGCAAGAACTAAGATCTGATTTTAATGAGATTGGTATTTGAATGAACTCATTGAGCCGGTCTGTGATGTGATGTTTCAGAAGCGATACTGTCTGGCAATGGTCAGTGTCAGTGTGATAATTCAAGATGTTACTATGGAGACGACGAATACAGCTGTTTACCCCTCAAAGCCAAATGCCAGGAAAACACATACCACAATAATGGTGAGATACATGTTCCACTAGGATTGGGATGAGTCCAAATTTACTACCCAGGTACCTGACCCCCCATTACCTGACCCTACTCGACCCACCCGGGTACAAAATGTCTGATTGGGAATTGTTTTACCGGAGCCTGGCAAAAACTATTTAGACAGTAATATATCTTGTCTGATCATAGGTTTTCGGACATCATACGTTTTTTGATGGCCATGTTTGATATAAAGGCTATTGGACGCTCTTGCCTCCGGAAGATGAGGTAGAGGCAGATCCAGGAATGTTCATAGGCGGGTCCAGAGGGCCCAAATCCCCCTTTTGAAAACCAAATGTAGTATGTTGTTGACAATCCCTCCCCCATACACATTGAGAGAGGATTTTGATTTATCATCCAAAACTGGGTCCCACAGGAGATATCGCTGCTGAAGCTGATAGCACTACTTTTTACACTTAAGACAATGCTTATTACTGAAAAGTTGGAAGAATGATGTTGAATAATAAAATCTCACCCTATATTTGATATCAAAAGACGCTTGGGTGAGATTCTCTGTATTTTTGGACCCTTCCCTTTTATAAATGCTGTACCTGCCCTTGAGGCTCACAAAGGTTTAAAAGAGGGTATGTAAGTCCCTCATCATTCAAAGTATTGTTATGCATGTGTAGCGGCTATAAAATTTCCGAGTCCCGTGATGGGATTCGAACCACGGACCTTCTGATCAGAGGTCGGACGCCTTGTCCACATGACCAAAGAGGTTAACCCCGTCAGCAAGCTGACAAGGTAAGGATGTCATCTGTGGGATGACTCCACGCCCTGCTACATACTCCCCCGTCAACAGAAGGCACGTCCCGGGCCGCATAGTAGGGTACTGAGGCTTATTTTGCTCAAATTTAATATGAACGTGCTCAGCCCCACGTTGGGCGCCATTTTGTAGCCGGGCGTGTTGTTAGTTGGCTGACATTCAACTGCAGACAAGGACAACATATAATGAACATATAATGAACACAGAATGAAGTGATGGTGCTAATAGATGAACATGTATGTATATATGTATAGAATGAAGCTCAGGGGGTGTATGTAGCCGGGTGGTGGTGCTAACTCTGAATGAGTTATAGCCACATAAGTACCACCCACTTATAACCCCCCTTAGATTCATTCTATACATATATACATACATGTTCATCTATTATCACCATCACTTCATTCTGTGTTCATTATATGTTCATTATATGTTGTCCTTGTCTGCAGTTGAATGTCAGCCAACTAACACCACTCCCGGCTACACATGCCAGAATTTTAAAACGTAGGATTTTTGTCATTTTATTATAAGGCTTAACTGGTATACTATCGCCAGTGACTGAAGGGTTGATATAAATCCTGCCAGGGCCATGCAGGAAGCACAGGTACTGTAAGTCCCCATGGTCCCTGGTGTGGTGATCTCCCTTTAGTTACTGACGATCTCTAGCCCATTTTTATATTGTGTTGTTCCTTAATACTTAATGCTTTTAAATGTTCCGCAACTAGTTTTAAATCTTATCTGTGATATTCTAGTTCTCATACTGTCCTTCGATGACAGATTTTTATAAAGTTTAAATATATGTATATTCATGTATAACTTCTCGTCACGATATGGCTGATATATTGCCGATGTGACGTAAAGCATTAACTCACTCACTCACTCACAAAGGTTTAAGTTGTGTTGGGTGGCTAAAAATGTTAGCAATGAATTTTAAGCATCAGTTTTACAATTACAAGGTGTTTTGGTGTTTGTTGTCACATCATGGTCCTTTATCAAGCTTGTCCATCATTTTAATTGATACTTATCAAGTGCAGTCTGCACCATAATAAACTGTTTAACCTTATCTACATGTTGAGGGGAGAGCTGAGTAAAAGGAGTTGTCTCCCTTGTTCTGTGGATTCTATGACCATGAACCCTATGAATACTGCTTTTTTTTATTTTCAGATCTTATCAACAGGTTTAATATTAGTATCCAACCTTGACCAGATTTATGAATAATAATTAATAATGTATTAAAAACACATTTCAGTATTTTATTCCTAAATGGTTTGTTAAATTACAACAAAATAACTGTTTGTCTGATCCGAGTTGTTTGTTGCAAGGTGCCTGTGTTCCCTGTCCAGCAGACACCCATCGGCCAGGCATCGGGTGCGGGCCGTGTGTGCCTATGTCCTCACTCGCTGCCTCAGTCAACACCATCAGGTCGGTCCTCACTCACTCACTCACTCACCCACTCACTCAACCACTCACTCACTCACTCACGCACTCAACCACTCACTCACTCACTCACGCACTCACTCACTCACTCACTCACTCACTCACTCACTCAACCACTCAACCACTCACTCACTCACTCACTCACTCACTCACTCACCCACTCACTCACTCACTCACTCACTCAACCACTCACTCAACCACTCGCTCAACCGCTCAACCACTCAACCACTCAACCACTCACTCACTCACTCACTCACTCACTCACTCAACCACTCACTCAACCACTCGCTCAACCACTCAACCACTCACTCACTCACTCAACCACTCGCTCACTCAACCACTCAACCACTCAACCACTCGCTCACTCACTCACTCAACCACTCACTCAACCACTCACTCAACCACTCGCTCAACCACTCGCTCACTCGCTCACTCAACCACTCAACCACTCACTCACTCAACCACTCACACACCAACCCACACACCCACCCACTCACTCACCCACCAACTCACACACTCACTCACACACTCACTCACACACCAACCCACACACCCACCCACTCACTCACTCACTCACACACCAACCCACCCACACACCCAGCCACTCACTCACCCACACACTCACCCACACACTCACCCACACACTCACTCACTCACTCAGCCATACTCACTCACTCAACCACTCACCCACTCACTTACTCACTCCAGTCAGGGGATTGTCTGGTACAGACTCGATTATTTGCAGACCGCCGTCATGTAGCTGGAATATTGCTGAGTGCGGCGTTAAACAACAAACCAATTACGACATTCAAGGTAATTAGTGGTTGATTGTACATGCTTTGCTCTAATATTTCACACCACACCTATATCAATTACAGGTTGTATGTCTGCATCTCAGTAGTTTCTATAGCTTATATTGGTATAACAATTTCAGCGAAGCCATCCCTCACCTGAACACTACCAACTCCACCACCACTGTGCCAACTGCTGTGACAACGAAACGCATCAGGCTTGATTCTCTCGATAAAGGTGAGTGAGATAAGGTGAACATACCGCTAAAAGAAATACCAACCAGTAAGCTCTTGGCATCATAATTACGCTTTGGAGCCTAAAATTACACTGTTATGCTTGTCTTCCCCAGATTATGATTTTTGAAACTTTTTCACAAATTGTTTACATGTATTAAATATCATGACAATCAGATTTTTAGCGCACCAAGGGGTGGAACTTTCCAAATAAAAAAATAGTAAGGATATATTACTGGTTGAAGCCTCACCAACAAATAAAGCAATAGGTAGATGCTGTAAATTTAATAAAGAAGGGGTTAAAGCTGTTTTTACTTACATGTGTAAACATAAATAGTACACTTCGCATACCATTTTGCCGAAATTATTGTAAACATTATTATAATTATTGAATGAAATTTTGAATATAATTAAAATATATTGCAAACATTAGTCCAGATAAACAGTGAATTTTTTTAATTATTACCAGATATTATAATATTAGGATTAAATTGCGTACTTCAGTTCGGGTTGTTGACTGGTATTTCCGGTGTTACGTGATCGCGGTGATCAGCTGATAATGTTTTCTGAGATGGGGAAAAACATTGTGTCATTGGAAAACTTGAGTTTTTTGAAAATTTTAGGAGCCATGCTTTACCGCGTGCTATGACCGAGTTAGCGCTGTATTGAAGGGTGCAATAACGAATGAACACTGTTTTACAAGTGGTCACAGTTACAGGGATGTGAAATCTCCGCGGAAACGCGGAAAATCGCGTTTTTTAAAACAGTAGTCCTCGGAAAAAATCATCTTCCGCGTAAAAATTTAATCAAAAATTAAAAAAAAAACACTCTGAAAAAAATGATCGAAAACCGGACAACCATCGCGGATTGTCCTGTTTTCGATCAGAGCTTTCACCAGCATAGGTTTTCGGACATCATACGTTTTCTATCACGAATACTTGCACTATAACGTGGGGTGTGGCGTCACACAGAAATTATAAATACTCAGAGTCAGCTGATGGCTTGTGTTTCAGATAAAGTTGTCTTTTACTAGTTTTAGCCTGTAAGTGAATGAGATGTTTTACAGTTGTTCATGTGATTAGCGAGAAAACTATGAATGTTTCTTCAGCGTCCAAAACCCAATAACATGGGGATATATGTTGTATTAATGTCTTATGTTTGCAATTGAGTTTTGTTTTTTTTCATCAAAAGGTAAGTACAAGGTAAGTTTTTTCAATGTGCTTCAACATGGGGAAAGGGGTCAGACATTGCACGCTTGTGACAGTTGTCCTTGTGTCTGGGGGATGGGGGTTGAAGTTTATGGCAGTATTGCTCCCAGACCTGGCGGGTAGCCAGGTGTGCGAAAGCTATGCTCATTTTTTAAAAGTACTGATCTAACTTAGAAATTTTACTGCATCTGCCATCTTGTTTATTTGACTTTTGCCCATGACTTAATACATTTCTTGGTGTGAATGTTGTCCAAACTGCACAAAATTGCTTAAAATGCAATCAAATGTTTAAAAAACAGACCCCCCTAGACTTTTCCTCTTTTTTCGGGAAAACCTACTCACATTCCTGCAGTTAATAAATCACAATCAGGCAGGAAGAAATAATACAAAATGTCACCCAGAGGAATAACATTGTGGTGACATGCTAAGTGGGGATAATATCATAATACCAAAAATATAGGTGAAAACTATGAAGTCCTGGTTGATGTGCTAGAAAGGGAGTGGGGGTTATTGCTGCATAAATCACCTGTTCAGCCTCAGTAGTCAAATCGTGATAAGTTCCTGAAATGTAGGGCACTTGTTAGGGTATTTGTCAGCTTTGGGACCAAGTCTTGGTAACGCAGAAACTGAGATGGATCCGTACAAATTTTTCTCAGAGGAGTGAGGTTGTCGGAGACCCTGTACATGTTCACCCGTTAACTGTTGTTGCAATAATGCCACTGTCTGTTGTAAAGCTGCTAGTTGTGGTCGTAATTCTGCATTTTCACCTGTACTTGGCACGGACATATTGAAAGTAGTCCCAGGAAGTTGTCTGTCTGAATCCCTACGCTCAGGCTGTTGTGTGTCTGGAGTTCTAGCTTGATATCTTCTGGCCGAAATAGTGCCTCCATTGCCATCGTCAGCATCGGAAATATCAGCAATGATGTTGTTCCTTGAGGTCACAAGGTTTCCAATTCGATTTAAGTTTGAAGAAGTCTGTCTTGACAGGGTGTGGGTCTGAAGTCCCAAGTCCTGTAATTTTATTTCAGTTCCTCTGTCATCAAATTGGCAGGAATAGATTTATCTAACTGCTGTCTTAGGGTCAATGGTTCTCTCACATTAGATCTCGATCTGTACTCGTGAAGTGAAAACCTGTATCATGGTACTATCCACAGTTATGTTTCTTACCCCACTGATTACTCTAAAGCTTCAATTAGGGTTGTCATCTCTGCTCTATACAAAGATCTGAGGACATCCATTACATGTCACATCTGAACGACCTTTCAGGCGGCTATTCTTGTCGTAAGAGGCGATTAACGGGATCGGGTGGTCAGGCTCACTGACTTGGTTGATGCATATCATCGTATCCCAATTGCGTGGATTGATGCTCATGATAGCAATCACTGGACTGTCTGGTCCAGACTTGATAATTTACAGACCACCATCATATAGCTGGAATATTGCAGCGTTAAACGACAAACAAACAAAGAACGTCCTTTCATCCAACCAATCAGAACATTGCTTACCAGACCAGGAAAAGAATAGTCAGAATGTGTTTCCGAATTATGCAACCTTAAAAAGGTTTACACAGGTGTTCTGAACAACAGTTACGAGCATTACGACCAAATCCATCAAAATCATCGTCTAGCTGTCACTGCAATGGGATAAACATTTGAATAAAAGTACTGCCATTCAATCTCAGCCATCTATTAGACATTCCAAAATAGCCTTTGGTTCAGTTTTCAAATTTTGAATCGATAACTTTGTCAAAATATTTTTCAATGTGTAGTCGGGAATGGAAGTTGCTACTTTGAAACTTGTGCCATTTATTGCTCAAGAAAGCTGCTTTCTGATTGGCTAATGTTGATTCCTTGTTAGTCATTTCACTGGTCAGTCAAAGTTCGCGTAAGGTCATTCTGATGTGATCCAAAATCGGATGTCCTCAGATCTTTGTTTAGTGGTAGTGAGAACTAAGAACTGATTTATTGAGGTTGACATGTTGATATATCAAAACACCAAAACACCATTCCAGCTATGTCATGGTGGCTCGTAAATAGTCGATCCCCAGTACCCAATTCTTGTCTCCCTGTGGGGATCCTAGGACAGAATAGATCCCCAGTACCTCATGCTAGTCTCCCTGTGGAGATCCTAGGACAGAATAGATCCCCAGTACTTCATGCTAGTCTCCCTGTATAGATCATAGGACAGAATAGATCCCCAGTACCCCATGCTGGTCTCCCTGTGGGGATCCTAGGACAGAATAGATCCCCAGTACCCCATGCTGGTCTCCCTGTATAGATCCTAGGACAGAATAGATCCCCAGTACCCCATGCTTGTCTCCCTGTGGAGATCCTAGGACAGAATATATCCCCAGTACTCCATGCTGGTCTCCCTGTGGGGATCCTAGGACAGAATAGATCCTCAGTACCCCATGCTAGTCTCCCTAGGGCAGAATAGATCCCCAGTACTTCATGCTAGTCTCCCTGTGGAGATCCTAGGACAGAATAGATCCCAAGTACTCCATGCTGGTCTCCCTGTGGGGATCCTAGGACAGAATATATCCCCAGTACCCCATGCTAGTCTCCCTAGGGCAAAATAGATCCCCAGTACTTCATGCTAGTCTCACTGTGGAGATCCTAGGACAGAATAGATCCCCAGTACCCCATGCTGGTCTCCCTGTGGGGATCCTAGGACAGAATATATCCCCAGTACCCCATGCTGGTCTCCCTGTGGGGATCCTAGGATAGAATAGATCCCCAGTACCCCATGCTGGTCTCCCTGTATAGATCCTAGGACAGAATAGATCCCCAGTACCCCATGCTAGTCTCCCTGTGGAGATCCTAGGACAGAAAAGATCCCCAGTACCCCATGCTAGTCTCCCTGTGGGGATCCTAGGACAGAATAGATCCCCAGTACCCCATGCTGGTCTCCCTGTGGGGATTCTAGGACAGAATAGATCCCCAGTACCCCATGCTGGTCTCCCTGTGGAGATCCTAGGACAGAATAGATCCCCAGTACCCCATGCTGGTCTCCCTGTATAGATTCTAGGACAGAATAGATCCCCAGTACCCCATGCTAGTCTCCCTGTGGAGATCCTAGGACAGAAAAGATCCCCAGTACCCCATGCTAGTCTCCCTGTGGGGATCCTAGGACAGAATAGATCCCTAGTACCCCATGCTGGTCTCCCTGTGGGGATTCTAGGACAGAATAGATCCCCAGTACCCCATGCTAGTCTCCCTGTATAGATCCTAGGACAGAATAGATCCCCAGTACCCCATGCTAGTCTCCCTGTGGAGATCCTAGGACAGAAAAGATCCCCAGTACCCCATGCTTGTCTCCCTGTGGATATCCTAGGACAGAATATATCCCCAGTACTCCATGCTGGTCTCCCTGTGGGGATCCTAGGACAGAATAGATCCCCAGTACCCCATGCTGGTCTCCCTGTGGGGATCCTAGGACAGAATAGATCCCCAGTACCTCATGCTTGTCTCCCTGTGGAGATCCTAGGACAGAATATATCCCAAGTACTCCATGCTGGTCTCCCTGTGGGGATCCTAGGACAGAATAAATCCCCAGTACCCCATGCTGGTCTCCCTGTGGGGATCCTAGGACAGAATAGATCCCAAGTACCCCATGCTAGTCTCCCTGTGGGGATCCTAGGACAGAATAGATCCCCAGTACCCCATGCTAGTCTCCCTGTGGGGATCCTAGGACAGAATAGATCCCCAGTACCCCATGCTAGTCTCCCTGTGGGGATCCTAGGACAGAATAGATCCCCAGTACCCCATGCTGGTCTCCCTGTGGGGATCCTAGGACAGAATAGATCCCCAGTACCCCATGCTGGTCTCCCTGTATGGATCCTAGGACAGAATAGATCCCCAGTACCCCATGCTGGTCTCACTGTGGAGATCCTAGGACAGAATAGATCCCAGTACTTCATGCTAGTCTCCCTGTGGAGATCCTAGGACAGAATAGATCCCCAGTACCCCATGCTGGTCTCACTGTGGAGATCCTAGGACAGAATAGATCCCCAGTACCCCATGCTAGTCTCCCTGTATGGATCCTATGACAGAATAGATCCCCAGTACCCCATGCTGGTCTCCCTGTGGAGATCCTAGGACAGAATAGATCCCAGTACTTCATGCTAGTCTCCCTGTGGAGATCCTAGGACAGAATAGATCCCCAGTACCCCATGCTGGTCTCACTGTGGGGATCCTAGGACAGAATAGATCCCCAGTACCCCATGCTAGTCTCCTTGTGGAGATCCTAGGACAGAATAGATCCCCAGTACCCCATGCTGGTCTCCCTGTGGGGATCCTAGGACAGAATAGATCCCCAGTACCCCATGCTAGTCTCCCTGTGGGGATCCTAGGACAGAATATATCCCCAGTACCCCATGCTAGTCTCCCTGGGTCCTAGGACAGAAAAGATATGCTACATGCTATCAACCACTGGTTTTCCTGTCCCAGACTGGACTACATGCTGACATGATGCAGTAAAAATATTGATGCATTCCTGACTGTGCATTCTTTACAGTGCATTACTTATGCTGCATTCCTGACTTCTTTCCTGACCATGCATTCCCCACCCTTCATTCCTGACTGTGCATTCCTGACTTCTTTCCTGACCATGCATTCCCCACCCTTCATTCCTGACTGCGTTCCTGACTGTCCATTCCTCGCGATGCATTTCTGACTCTGCTTTTCTGGCTGTACTTTCCTGACTGCGCATTCCTGCCTATATTTTCCTCACCATGCATTCCTCACCATTCATTCCTGACTGCATTCCTTACCATGCACTCCTGACCATGCATTCCTCACCATTCATTCCTGACAGAGCATTCCTTACCATATATTCCTTACCATGCACTCCTAACTGTGCATTCCTGACTCTGAATTCCTGACCGTGCATTCCTTACCATGCATTCCTGGTGACTGCAACATAAAAGCTGACCATTGTTGATGCAATATTACAAAATCGGCATGAAATCCTGAATGTTTACTTTCTCATTTGTCTGCTTTTTCCTATTTTACTTTTAAACCAGCTCTGGAATAATTAATCGGTCATAAATAACATGCGAGAAATACTGGCAATTTCCACAAATCTTAAGACAAATGTTGATTGCATTTCACAGAGGAGAAAGACGTTCCAGAAGACGATAAATCAGTTGTTTCTGAGTGAGTAATAAAACATGGCTAGATCCTTTAGATCGTCCTCAATGATGCTGTGTATGTTGTAAGGAATACCCTGGATTGATTTACATCGACTGCTTCACGTCCACATCCATTTAATTTTTCTTCCCCATCATTATTATTATAAAAAACAATGCTTATTAATATCGAAGATTATGTTGCAAAAACATGTTTTTCTCCAAGCTGACATGTTTTCAGGACAATCTGGAAAAAAATTCTGTTGCTGATTAAGAAACATTGTCATAAATTTCAAATTTATGTTTTGTTCATTATGATTTTGGTACTCAGTAATGATGCAGAAAATGTTTTAATATCAAAGGCAGCTGCAGCTGTTAAGTGTCTGACTTCTAAACTATTGACTACATATACAGGTAAGCTACAATGCCATGGCAATAATGTTTGTTTTTATTGTTTCAAACTTCTGCTCCTGTTTATATGAAAGAATGATGTATTTCAGGCCACTGCCCGGAACTCAGGTTTGGGAGTACAAACCGGTACTCATTGGACTGGTTGCAACCATCTTAATTGTCATGATTGTTTGGGGGAGTGTGTGGTTCTACAGAAAGAGGAACCGTAGTGGTAGGTAACACAGAAATAAATAAAAAAAATTCTTTGTAATGATAATATCCCTTGGATGTGCCAGGATCTGCTGATAGTGGGTTTGAATCCCATATTCATCTCAGTTGAGATCTGTACTCTGTCAGCACTAAACCTGTTTATGTGGGGTTTTCAAGGTGCTACACCTGTGCTTGTGAACTTCTCCAGGTGCTATACCTGTGCTTGAGGGTTTCACCAGGTACGATGTCTGTGCTTGAGGGTTTCACCAGGAACCATGTCTTGTGGGGTTCTCCAGGTACCATGTCTGTGCTTGTGGGGACTCCAGGTACAATATCTGTGCTTCTGGGGTTCACCAGGTACTATGTCTGTGCTTGAGGGTTTCACCAGGTACTATGTCTGTGCTTGAGGGTTTCACCAGGTACCATGTCACTGCTTGAGGGTTTCACTAGGTACCATGTCTGTGCTTCTGGGGTTCACCAGGTACTATCAGAGCTCCAGATCACTTTTTGAGCAATTGAGTTTTTTTCATCACTCTATTGGGTTTTTTCCAAAATAAGTGAACATTTTAAGATTTAAGAAAAGGAAATAGTTTTTGAGATGTACATTATATAACGACTCAAAATATATAGGCTTGACTCAGTAAGTAAATTAGCTCATAGTTGTGTTTCGGAAATTAGCGCCTTTGTATGCATGCTGAAAAAGCTTCATTGGGTATTTATGCATGCTGTTTTTATACATTTGAGTTTTTCAATTAATGCATGCGTTTCTGTAAGCAAGATATTTGAAAGTAATATGGTTTTGAATATTTTTGGGGAGTATTTTACGCAAATAAGCAGCTTATCTGTAGCGCTGTACTATGTCTGTGCTTGAGGGTTTCACCAGGTACTAAGTCTGTGCTTGAGGGTTTCACCAGGTACTATGTCTGTGCTTGAGGGTTTCACCAGGTACTATGTCTGTGCTTGAGGGTTTCACCAGGTACTAAGTCTGTGCTTGAGGATTTCACCAGGTGCTATGTCTGTGTGTGAGGGTTTCACCAGGTACTATGTCTGTGCTTGATGCTTTCACCAGGTTCAATGTCTGTGCTTGAGGGTTTCACCAGGTACTATGTCTGTGCTTGAGGGTTTCACCAGGTACTATGTCTGTGCTTGAGGGTTTCACCAGGTACTAAGGCTGTGCTTGAGGGTTTCACCAGGTACTAAGTCTGTGCTTGAGGATTTCACCAGGTGCTATGTCTGTGCTTGAGGGTTTCACCAGGTACTAAGTCTGTGCTTGAGGGTTTCACCAGGTACTAAGTCTGTGCTTGAGGGTTTCACCAGGTACTAAGTCTGTGCTTGAGGGTTTCACCAGGTACTAAGTCTGTGCTTGAGGATTTCACTAGGTGCTATGTCTTTGCTTGAGGGTTTCACCAGGTACTATGTCTGTGCGTGAGGGTTTCACCAGGTACTAAGTATGTGCTTGATGCTTTCACCAGGTACTCTGTCTGTGCTTGAGGGTTTCACCAGGTACTATGTCTGTGCTTGAGGGTTTCACCAGGTACTATGTCTGTGCTTGAGAGTTTCACCAGGTACTATGTCTGTGCTTGAGGGTTTCACCAGGTGGAAATCATCTATGAATTGCATCATATTAAACTGCTGTGCTCTTATAGAAATGTTATTGAAATGAAAAACTGTTCAAAGCAGCATTAAACCTATCTATTGTGAGTGACAATCCCAAGCCTCAATGACTGTGAATCACCCTCTTCTCAGCACACCTGACTGTTGCTACTGTTATGGGGCTGAATCAGATGGTGAGCCTCGAAGACTATTTCTGTGGTATTCAAGCACAAACACATCCCAGTCTATGACATTTTACACCACTAGTCCGAAGTACCAGTCAAGTAAAATTCTGTTTGGTCTGGTAATCTCAGAAATATCACACCATAATTATAACAACTAAAATTTACTTAAGATGATGCTGAGAGCCAAGTTGGGGCAAGTAGCGTCAAACAGTTTTTGTACAGACTGTCCTCATGACATTTCATTGCCCTAACTAAAAAGACTTTTTCAACAAACAGATCATGTGCCATTGCCGTCCAACTCCTCCACTCCCCCTCCCAGTCCACCCCCATCCTACGCAGTGTTGGACCCGAACCGGGACACAGCTCATCATTCTCAGATCAACCAGGGCACAGGTAGGTCAGGTCATCACTCTCAGATCAATCGGAACACAGGTAGGTCAGCTCATCACTCTCAGATCAATCGGAACACAGGTAGGTCAGCTCATCACTCTCAGATCAATCGGAACACAGGTAAGTCAGCTTATCACTCTCAGATCAACCAGGACACAGGTAGGTCAGCTCATCACTCTCAGATCAACCGGGACACAGGTAGGTCAGGTGATCACTGTCAGATCAATCATTGTGTACTGGGTTATTTCAATCTCTATTTGTTGGATGAATTTTTTATATCATCAAAACTTGATCCTCAGCAAATTTTGAGTCCCGGTGGTATCTTTGAATGTTGTATCTGTGTATCTTTGAGTTTGTCCTTTGGGTGCGTCTTTCATTATAATTGTGAAACTTTCTTCCTGTATCATTTGGGTAGCTGTTTTAAGAGAACTGTATGTGACTTTCTCCACATTGACAGGGTATCCCAATGGAGGCGCCACTGCAACATGCAATAACCAGAGAGGTATGTATACCAGTGGTGAGTGAGTGAGTGAGTTAGGTTTAACTCCGCTTTTAACAGTATTCCAGTTAATTCATGGTGTGGAGAGAGGAAGGGATGCAGGTCTCAGACGTTTACCACTTCGGTGAAACCCACGAGCACAGGCATGGTGCTGACAAACCTAGAAACATAATCTGGGCGAACTGGGATTCAAACCCACAATCATAGGTTTCTGGCGGGCCAAAGGGACGCAACTCTGCACAGCGAATTGCGGTGCCTTGGACGACTGGGCCACCTGTGCCCCCGTATGTATTCCAGGTAGAAGTGGACATGGCCTTGTCATCTGAACGCTAATTTCAGTGGGGAGTCTGTGAGGAACAGGTCCCAGAACCTCAGTAAAAGTCATTGTCATTACCGTATTAGACGTAATAAGCGCCCAGGGCGCTCTCAAAATTAGAAATAGGGGGCTCTTATTAGAATATTACTTTGGTGAAAAAAACAGTTGAAAGATAAATTTCACGGTTTATGCTGACAGCCTGAAATGTTTATATATGACAGATATATTTTTCAAGAAATTTAATTGCCCATAATTCAAGGTGCATATTACACACGAGTACGTATTATACGTGAATAAATAGGTCTCATGTACATTGATCAATCGGAAGGGGTGCTAATTGGGATTGTTCACTTGCCACTATATTAGCAAATATCGCTGTGGGCGCTAATTAGGTAATTGTGAAACCTTCTTCCTGTATCATTTGGATAGCTGTTTTAAGAGAACTGTATGTGACTTTCTCCACATTGACAGGGAATCCCAATGGAGGCGCCACTGCAACATGCAATAACCAGAGAGGTATGTATACCAGTGGTGAGTGAGTGAGTGAGTTAGTTGGGTTTTATTCCAGTTAATTCATGGTGTGGAAAGCCCGAAGTGATGCAGGTCTCAGACGTTTACCACTTAGGTGAAACCCACGAGCACAGGCATGGTGCTGACAAACCTAGAAACATAATCGGGGCGAACTGGGATTCAAACCCACAATCATAGGTTTCTGGCGTGCCCAAGGGACGCAACTCTGAACAGCGAATTGCGGTGCCTTGGACGACTGGGCCACCTGTGCCCCCGTATGTATTCCAGGTAGAAGTGGACATGGCCTTGTCATCTGAACGCTAATTTCTGTGGGGAGTCTGTGAGGAACAGGTCCCAGAACCTCAGTAAAAGTCATTGTCATTACCGTATTAGACGTAATAAGCGCCCAGGGCGCTCTCAAAATTAGAAATAGGGGGCTCTTATTAGAATATTATTTAGGTGAAAGAAACAGTTGAAAGATAAATTTCACGGTTTATGCTGACAGCCTGAAATGTTTATATATGACAGATATATTTTTCAAGAAATTTAATTGCCCATAATTCAAGGTGCATATTACACACGAGTACGTATTATACGCGAATAAATAGGTCTCATGTACATTGATCAATAGGAAGGGGTGCTAATTGGGATTGTTCACTTGCCACTATATCAGCAAATATTGCTGTGGGCGCTAATTAGAGCGGGGCTCTTATTACGTTGAATACGGTAGTTGTAATAAGATCCAGCCATCTGATTGGCCACTTGCATACTTGTAGAAACCTATGTATGACAGCTGGCAGTCTGTGCATCATGATGACATGATGTTTGATGTGACGTAATGTGCTTGTCATCACATTGGTTGGTTGGTTTGTTGTTTAACGCCGCACCCAGCAATATTCCAGCTATATGACGGCGGGCTGTAAATAATCGAGTCTGGACCAGACAATCCTGTGATTGATATCATGAACATCAATCTACGCATTTGGGATCGATGACATGCATCAACCAAGTCAGCGAGCCTGACCACCTGATCCTGTTAGTCGCCTTTTATGACAAGCATAGTCACCTTTTACGGCAAGCATGGGTTGCTGAAGACCTATTCTACCCCAGACCTTCACGGGTCGTCATCACAGTTGACCTTTTTTGCACTTCAGGGTACGATACTGAGATTCTGATGCTGGTCTCAAGATTGATGTTATTGTCCCACACAAATATATCATCAAAAATGATTCTTTGTAACATGTGAACTCTAATATCAATTATCCTATCTCACCCTATGCATTTCTTCCTTCTTCTTTCGATACTGGTGTGGAAACGTCCTAAAACAAAGTTGCCAGCTTCAAAAAACATTTTACTCATCCCATACATCACCATAGTCACCACCTTAACAATAGGTCATGCGCCACTGCAATCCTATGCGACCTGACCCCAAGCAACCTGATCACCTGACATAACCTGCCACATCATTCTCTTTCTCATCACCAGGGTGTGGGGACGTTTTTGAGTTTACAGAAAATTGTATATATGTCGTCCTCGGACAACTGCAACATATCAGACAGTTTTACATGGAGTAATGCCAGTTTTGCAAAAAATGCAATTGCATTTTTTCATCAGTTGACCCCCACTCCAACTGCTGTGATTGTCGTGGACAATGCAAGTTGTCAGCCCGATGTTCGCAATGCAAAGATCTATCAGAAGATGTTACCATGTTTCTTCTTGCCTGGCGGTTGGAGGCAGTAACTTAGGACCGGAACACGGACGTTCAACTACCAAGAAACTTAAAAGAGTCATTCAAGTAGCTGTCAGATAATCTGTTTCAGTGGTCACATGTGCCAAATCATTGACCACCATGTCGCCATCCATTGAGGAGGACATTGTCTCAGATAGTTTTCCGATGGAGGATTTTTCTACCAATTCTGCATCCACACCCAGTACATGTTTGACTGATGGTGGCCAGGTTAATACATATTTACCAGCCACAGATCGACGTGCAGTTCAAACTAGAGACAAGTTGCCAACCCACACGACTTCCTAAGTGGAGATGACTTCCTAAGTGAAATCCCGACCCTCATGGGAGAGCCAATTATCATCCCTCGTTCCTCAGAAGGATGATTAAGATTTTGAAAACGTCATGCTCAAGACAGTGTTTCTCCTGGCATTAGCAAGATTCACAGATGACTTCCTAAGTGAAATCCCGACCCTCATGGGAGAGCCAATTATCATCCCTCGTTCCTCAGAAGGATGATTAAGATTTTGAAAACGTCATGCTCAAGACAGTGTTTCTCCTGGCATTAGCAAGATTCACAGTCTCGATGTCAACAGAGCCCATTTGAGAGGCAGCGTCATGGGAAAGTCTTTCTCGGCCTTAGCTGGGACTTCCTTGCCAAAAAACAGCTTCCAGGATTACCAGATCACCGATTCACCATCCCTTCACTCATCTCAATCTTGAATCCAGATGCCCATGAAGTCCTTGCGTTGTGTCCTGTTTGAGCTTTGTGCATTTACCTAAAAGCCTCACCAACTCTACAACATTCTTGTAAGAGACTGTTCATTCCGTTATCCACTACGGCGACAATGGGACTCCAATCCACACGCATCTTCTCGAGGTAAGAGCATCCACTAGCCCTTTTATCAAAGTCTTTTTTCACCATTGCCACATCAAGCCCATTTTCCTGTGCTAAATATGATTGGACTATCACATATATGAATAGTTCAATCAGAGAACCTTTCACAAAATCGAACATTCATGACTGTACACCTTCGTATAAAAGTGATTTACAGCTGCCTGTCTTTGTTGACACAAATATGTCTTTTTCGTCACTACCAAACGATTGCCTATGTCCGTTATCTGATCGACTAGGTCGTCGCCATCTTTGTGAGCTGTACAACATAAGAACAGCGATCTGATTGGATATCGCGTTTTCATTACATAGGGCACAACTCGTGATCTGCGCGAGGTGGCGCCAGGGTCGAGCCAAGAAAAGTGGCCTTTATGTGGCAAGGGTTGAAACAACATTTTGCCACAGACTTGTGGACACGCTTGCCTCAGGAAGATGATCCACACAAAACTCGAGCAGTTGCCTCCACTGAGGCTTGCCTCCCATACCTAAGAGACTTCTCGATCAGGCGATCAGGTGGCTTGGGGTCAGGTCACACAGGATTGCAGTGGCACATGAGTCTTTGTTTAGATTTTGATGCTGGGATGTGTTCAGGTGAAATGTTTTTTGAAGCTGGGAACTTTGTTTTAGGACGTTTCCACACCAGGATTAAAAGAAGAAGGATGAAATGCATAGTGTAAGATAGGATCAGTATATATGTATACAATTTAATTAAAAAAAAATTCAAATCAGTTACATGTGTCTGTCAGTAACAGGGTGTACAGGATTTTAAGAAATGAATGTTCATGTTCAAGCCCATTTGGCGTGTAAAATCAATTGCACCCTGCAAGTGACACATGTGACTAAAGATGGAGTATTACCCCCCAGCCCCGCACACGCACACACACACACATACACACACACACACAATTTTGAATGATGAAAATGATATCTTTATATCAAATATATCAACATTTAATAAAAGTTAATTAAAGTTCTTACTTTCAATGCTATGTTTCTAATCTTTTTTCACAGCCGTACCATTTCAGAATAGTTACTGTGACAACCCTGTAGAATCCCCCATAGATGGCGCTGGTCAATCATTTCAACCTGTTCAACCATCGTCTTCCTCAATCCCCGATCTGCCACCTACAGGCTTCAGCTCTGGATCATCCGCGTCACAAGGCTCTGTCAGCGTGCATGGGCTGGCTCCCGATCACACAAACCCTAAAGTTGCTGTTTCTAACCAAGTATCCACCACGGAGCAGCAGAGAGCTGGGCAGAAGCCAACATCTAGCGTTTTACCTGTTGTTGATGACGCTAACACTCCATTGCTTGGATCTGCCCCTAGTCTTGACCCTGACAGCATCAAACGGGACAGCCAGTAGAACCTATTAGGTGTGTAATGAGTGAGTGAGTGAGTTGGGTTTAACGCCGCTTTTAACAGTATTCCAGTTATGTCGCGGCGTGTCAGCTTAATGTGGGAGGAAATCCCAAAGTGATGCAGGTCTCAGACGTTTACCACTTCGGTGAAACCCACGAGCACTTGTATGGTGCTGACAAACCTAGAAACATAATTGGGGCGAACCGGGATTCGAACCCACAATCATAGGTTTCTGGCGTGCCCAAGGTACACAACTCTGCACAGTGAATCGTGGTGCCTTAGGTGTGTAAAACTGAGATGAAAAGATGTACATGTGGTGGATAACACACCAGCAAATGGGTACCCGGTAGGATACATGCAAACCTACTCACACCTGTCGGGCAACTCGAGATGTGTACTGTACAGCAGTTTGTGTTTTGATCCGGTGATCAGGGTTATAATTGTGCAGCGACATCGAATGCTTTTGGGTTTGAAAATGTCGCAGTATAAATCATGTTGTGACCATTCATGTTCATATCTACCCTGTAGAATGTATACTGACTCATTGTTGAAGGGTCAGGGTGTGTAGCGGGTCAAACATGAACATGTTTCAACAAGCATGATAGGTCTGAGTATGTCAACGATGTGATTAACAGCTGAAGAATATGATGTTTCATCTTCAGGAGGCAAGTGAGTTAACTTACTACAAAAGTCCAGTTTCCACCCTTGCCGAACTAGGCTGGTATCATGGAGTTACATTTTGGCTGGACTAACGAGTCTACGCATAGTCCATTCAAAATCGCGCACCGAAATCGAAATCCGGTTCGTAAAGTGTCATGCAGATTTCGGTCGACTGCAGGATTTGCAAAGCATGTGCACCGCTAACTCGTTGTCAACATATATTTTCTAAATCTTTTCATGCTTTTATTCAAGGTGCTCACATGATTTGATGCACTTCGTGATGTAAGACTCGTTTTATCATAATATAGATCTTGATTATCAATCAGATCGTCTTGACTGGGCGCCACCGTTTTGTTTGAAGCAAATGCAAGTGATACGAGAGGTTGAATCTGATTGGTCAATAGGAGAGGCATAGAAAGGACACTGGTGGCGCTACTATCGAGCCCAGGAATTCCAGCCTAGTTCGGCAAGAAACTGGACTTTTAAAGTCAGTTAACTCTCTTGCCTCGGGAAGATGATGCTGTTTGTTCCTGTCACACTGATTGGATGATTTTAGGAAAATGGGAAAATGAACATCGCCTGAAAATTGCAAGGTTGAAGGTGACACACAAGCTTTTTCTTCAATTTGCCTCAAAGAAAAACATTGCCGGAGCCAGTTCTTTCTGTGGTGCTCTATTGTTATTGTTTGAGAATTGAATTGTGCATAAACTGAGTTGTGACATCACACTGAGAAATTATTTCAAGCATGAATAAAAAACACCCAGAACTGTTGACGTACTGACCTTTGAACTTGTGTTACCATGAGTTCCCAACTTGATTATTGTGTCAGAAGTTGTGTTTGAGAAATCCAGTTCGAGATCAAGTCGGTTGTTTCTCATTTGTTTTTGTAAAGTTATTGCCAATGGATGAAGGGTATTTCCTGATGAATTCCAGGCATCTGCAATCTGGTTAAAATCAGATTGTTACGGCCAAAATGATAAAATTATTATTAGGTATTTATGTGTTCTAGATAAATTGTCGGAGAATTGCTATGATTAACCCTAGTGCAAATAGCAGTGATTTATTGTCAAGTTGTTTTTTTTAGCGGGTTGCAATTTTCGTGGTTACAAAGGGGGATAACTGCTGGTAGGTTATATTTTGGAAGTATGTCGCTGGCCTGCCTGCCATCATTGCCATGTGGGTTATTCTTTTGGAAGAATAGATGGTCTACAAATGGTATGAATTACTTTATTAGCAGTCTTTGCTTGGAAGCATTTTGTGTTAATATTATTAACTTATAAGCAGCACTATTCAGTCACGTTATTTAGTCTGTATTTTCACATGGCTTTCGAAGCTGTTTGCTGCATTCAAAACTCGCTCGCTTTGCACGAGGTGTTAAAAATAGATTTTGCCACAGGTTGTTTTGCGAGGGCTTTTCAAACTTATTATTTAACAGTAAATGCTTATTTATAGAAATATTGGTTGTATGACTTGACTGACATGTTTTGGTTCTCCAGAATTTCAAAGATGTAGACTTTGTAAAAATATATCTTTATTGGTGAAGTTTGATACATAAGGTTGTAATAGTATCACAATGTGAAATAGCATTATGTCATGCTATATTTTCTGATTTATTGCAGTCAATCTGTCACAAGTGAGACTTCAACACGCTATGAAATATGAACTGAACTTTGATATAAACTTTCACTACAGTCTTCAGTCTTGCTTGTTTTCTGAATTGGCGATAGGGCCTATAGACCTATCTACTATAGAGAAGAACACAGATCTTAGTTCTTGCTCCTCCTGCACAAACATCTGAGGACATCCCATTACAGGTCACATATTAGCCAATCAGAAAGCTGCTTTCTTGAGCTTCATGGCATAAGTTACAAACTGACGACTTCCATTCCAGACTGCGCTTTGAAATATATTTTGACAAGGATCTCAAATCAATATTTGAAAACTGAACAAAAGGCCATTCTGGAGTGTCTAATTGATGGGCAAGAGCTAAGTCTCTTCATTTTCAGATGTTTATGCCATTGAAGCAAGAAATAGATGATGTCTTTGACAGAATCAGTTGTACAGCCTGAATTGTCGTTTGGAATACCCCTTGTTAATTTTTTTTTAGGTTGCATGATTAGAAAACATTCTGAATGTCACTTTCCCGATCTGGTAAGCGACGTTCTGATTGTCAGATGAAAGGTCGTTCTGACCTGACCCACAATGGGAAGTCCTCAGATCTTTGTTTCGCGGTAGATCTACTGAGTACTGAGATCTGATTTTTATGAGTTTGAGACGTCTGCATCTTTCATCAAATACTGATCCAGTATGAACTTCATGCCAAAGTATCTTTTTAGCTTTTGTGTCACTATTTATGATTGAGACTTTAGACATGCGGATGATTGGAAGTCATGGACTTTGTGAACATTTAGAATACAATGATGTCATTTTATTTGCAAATTGTACAGACATTGTTGAATTTGTGATATGCATGTTGAGTTTGTGTTGATGGAAGCTTCCCAATTGTTCATGCTGGACACTTCATAGCATTGATACCAACCAGGATGTACAGTTTCTTGTTACTGTCCCCACCCCAGACTTATGCTTGTGAGATTCAACCTCTTGGCAGTAAAAAATATCAGACATGTAGGACTATGAGTGAAAACCGATGCCCAAATAAATTTGCCTTTAATGCAGCCGAAGGGCTTGGATGTTGATAAATGTGACCAACCATGAGATAAGGGACCTTGTGGGTGACAAAAATCACAATTCTACTTCTCATATTTTAAAATGACATGAAACGTTTGGAGTGAGTGTGAGTGAGTTTGGTTTTACGCCGCATTTAGCAATATTCCAGCAATATCACGGTGGGTGACACCAGAAATGGGCTTCACACATTGTGCGCATGTCGGGAATCGAACTCGGGTCTTCGGCGTGACGAGCGTACGCTTTAACCACCAGGCTTCCCGACCGCCCCTCGTTTGGATTCATTGTCCAACTGGGGCGGTCAGGTAGCCTAGTGGTTAAAGCGTTCGCTCGTCACGCCGAAGACCCGGTTCGATTCCCGACATGCGCACAATGTGTGAAGCCCATTTCTGGTGTCACCCGCCGTGATATCGCTGGAATATTGCTAAAAGCGGCGTAAAACCATACTCACTCACTCATTGTCCAACTTATATCTGTTTATGTAATAAGCGCAGTTTTTGGACATAAAGTCTGATGAATTGAAAGTAGACATGTATGCTGAAAGGTTTTGAATTTTTTTTTTTTATTACATTACAAACTAACCAGAGAATAATAAGTTATTTTTTTTACAGTCCACACACATGGCGATCTTCGCTGAAGTAAGTTGACGTCAAACGTCATAATGACACCACAGCACAAGTGTATCCTAGCACCCATAATATGCCTGTTTTCCTGGTGGGTCACAAATATTGTTAGTGAGGGAGCACGTCAAGAGATGTTGGATAAATCAAAATGAATTCCTGAAGTTTTCCGACAAATACACCAGGGCCCACTTGCACAAAGCGATCTTAACGCTAAGATGATCGTAACTCCCATACTTTAACATAGGCTTACAGTAGTTGCAGCGCTAAGATCGCTTTGTGCAAGTGGGCCATGTTCCTTAATCTAAGAAAACCCCAGTTTACTTTTTATAAATAAAATGTATCCATTGAACAAGTTTTGGGCTGTGCTTTCTGAAAGTCATACTTAAAGCATCTCTGTAATGGAGAATTGTGCATTGTTACATATTGGTCAAGTGGTCTCATTTCTGTGACAAGTATTTTTGTATGTCTTCAGGTCTTCCAGCGAAACCTCAATAATTATTCTTTCCATACTTTAGGCAGAGACTATTGTCACATGTTGTTATGCTATGTCTCCATATACTGCTGGTGGGTAAAGGTTATACCGGAGACTGGTAGATTTGGCAGTTCTGCACTCAAAGCATACAAGATTTTGTTTTTAGAAAGAAGTGATACTGAAAATTCAAGATGGCAGAATTGAATTCAAACATACATGCGATACAAAATAAAATCATTTCATATACAGTCATGTTGTTGGAATACTCATTAATTGGATGCAAAACATTTTGTTTGTAAATTTGTTTTTCTTTTTGAGATCCGTATAAGACTTAAACCTCAATCTCATTAAAATCAGATCTTAGTTTTCGCTACCGCTAAACAAAGATCTGAGGACATACCATTACGGGTCATGTCAGAACGACCTTTCGCGAATTTTGACCGACCAATGAAATGACTGACAAGAAATCGACATTAGCCAATCAGAAGGCAGCTTTCGCGAGCTTTACGACACTAGTTTCAAACTGGCAACTACGCTTCGAAAGTAAAATCGAAACTTATTTTGACATATTCTCGATTTAAAAAAAATAAAACTGATAAGAAGAACATTCTGGAATGGCTTATAGATGACCTAGATTGTATGGATATAATCATAAAACTCGTAACTGTTGTTCGGAATATCCCGTGTTAAATATTTCGTGGTTGCATGATAAGAAAACACATTCCGACTGTCACTTTCATGATCTGGTAAGCGATTGGTTGGATGAAAGGTTGTTCTGACGTGACCCATAATGTGATGTCCTCAGATCTTAATTTGTTTAGCGATAGCGAGAACTAAGATCTGATTTTAATGAGATTGTCTTAACCTCTGATATGCTTGAATTCAATTTAGGGCAGGGACGAGTCTAAATTTACAATCACATGAGGCACGGGTGGCCCAGTGGTCTAAGGCGCCGCAAAACGCTGTTCAGTGTTGCGTCTTCACATGTGTCTTATTAGGATTGGCCAGATTGCACATGTGCCTCAAAAGGATTGGCCAGTCTTCACATGTCTTATAAGTATTGGCGAGATTGCACATGCGTCTTATAAGGATTGGCCAGATTGAACATGTGTCTTGATTAGGATTGGCCAGTCTTCATGTGTGTTTTGAAAGGATTGGCCAGTTTGTACGTGTCGTAAAAGTATTGGCCAGTCTTAACATGTGTTTTGAAAGGATTGGCCAGTTTATACTTGCCTCAAAAGGATTGGCCAGTCTTCACGTGTGTTTTGAAAGGATTGGCCAGTTTATACTTGTCTCAAAAGGATTGGCCAGTCTTTGCGTGTTTTGGAAGGATTTGTCAGTTTCTATGTGTTTTATAGTGACTGGCCAGATATTAGTCTGGGGAATGGGAAAGGGTGTGATTTTGGATTGATAGATATTTTTCAGCTTCAGCTGCAAAGCCAGATGTATTTTATATTAAGAACTATGAGCCTGGGATATTATGCCAGCATGATAATATGGATCATTAGATACCTGCCATATTTTGAGTTTCACGAAAAGTATGAATATGTATTGTATGAAGGGATATTGTTCAGTATGGAGGCAAGCATGGCTAAGTTGTCATTTAATGTGTTCAATCTTTAATAAACTTGTTTCCGTCGCACAGTCAAAACAAGAGACTGTTCAGAATAGCATGCTGTTGAGTTTTCAATATTAAACGTTTATGGAAAATATTAATAATGTACCCATGATGCAATATAATGAGGTTGCGCCTCTCTAAACCAGCATTTACGCTGTCTGGTCATGTAGTGTTATGAATGTAAATATGCTTTTATCATTATAAAAAATACCCTGCCTTTTTGTCATGTTTGTTTGTCTCAAGCTTTACTTGTAAGAGACCCGTGAATATTCAGGGTAGAATAGGTCTTCAGCAACCTATGCTTGCAGTAAAAGGCGACTGTGCTTGTCGTAAGAGGCGACTTAAGGGATCTGGTGGTCAGGCTCGCTGAATGGGTTGAAGCATGTCATTCAACCCAATTGCATGGATCGAAGCTCATGATATCACTCACTGAATTGTCTGGTCCAGACACAATTATTTACAGACTGCCGTCATTAAGCTGGAATATTGCTGAATGCGGCGTTAAACAACAAACAAAACAAAACTTGTAAGAGTTGACTGTATTGGATCTGGTAGTCAGACTGGATGATGTGGATGTTGTCATAATATCGACCACTGGTTTGTTTGGTTCAGATGCAGGACTAGATTACTTTGAGGCCGCTGTGACGGCAGTGATATTGCTGGGTGATTTCTATGTGCAGTATTCACAATCAACTTTCATGTACATTATGTGGCACACAAATAAACTTGTAAAATGGAAATCATATCAACTAGTCCTATCTGAATCTTTTATCAGACTGCCTATTTTTTAAAATAAATGCTGAATTCATCAACTGTTTTTGTTTATTTTCACCAACCATGCCAAACTGTTAAACACTTTTATGCAAGTGAGTGAGTGAGTATGGTTTTACGCCGCTTTTAGCAATATTCCAGCAATATCACGGCGAGGGACACCAGAAATGGGCCTCACACATTGTACCCATGTCGGGAATCGAACCCGGGTCTTCGGCGTGACGAGCGAACGCTTTAACCACTAGGCTACCCGACCGCCCCCTTTTTTGCAAGAAAAATTATGATGCAATTAAGCTGAAAGAAAAGTATTCTCAAACATATCATAGTTTTAGACACTATAAATGATACTGCATGAGAAAATATCTGTTAACTGAAAATATGTTGCAGAATACTGAACATTATGATAGAGCCATGTGGTTATGTGTCCTTGACCTTTACACACCAAGGTAGTGTCAAAAGGACCGATTTACGACAACATTGCCTGAATGAACATTTAATTCCAAAGGCTAATTACCCTGGAGCCATGCCATCTATATGCCTTGAAACACTTAATTGCCGTTATTTATAAAATGCTAATCCTAATTGTTAACCCACGCTGACTGTCTGCAATCATGAACAAGATGTGCAAGTATTTCACAGATGAATTACTGATTACATTTATTTATGACTTACTAAATATCAGGTGACCTTGGCTATGTAAGCCTTGGTCCAGAGATAAAAAGGAGATAGCAGAGAAAGGTCTTACCCTTAGCCTAGCTAGGGTTAGGCTGGGTGCTCCGGGGCACCAAGACAACAACCACTACCACTATGTGCTGACCTGGCACATGGTGTCTTTTGAATGTATATCTCTATGTACATAACGGTATATACCGCAAGTCATCGTGTCAAAGTTGTCACTTCATACCAAGAACCATATGCCGACCCCTTGCATATACAAGTATGCAACTATTCATTAGCAATGCCACGTGTGTCAACAAGCGTATGCCTTAACCATTAGACTACCCCACAGCCCCCACACTGGTGTGAAAGGCTTATGTCCTGTTGTTGGCTTGGCAGTGCCAGGATCTGATAGTCATGGATTCAAATCCAGTGTCCCACACCATTGCCCTAGGTTTGTCAGCACCATTCCAAGACTGTGGGTTTCACCAGAGTGGTATATGTCCAAGACTATACCACTTTCTTCCTACTTCACCCTGACGGGCTGTGATATTATTGAACCCCACCTCCATGGGGAGTTCTGGGACCCCTTCCACAAAGCGATCTTAGCGTTAAGATGATCGAACTCCCATACTTTAACATAGGCCCACGATAGTAGGGCTGAGATCCCTTTGTGGAACGGGTCCCTTGTCATTAAAAGCAGATCGTAGCTCAGGCTACCCCGAAACCGTTGCGAAAACTAAGATCTGGTTTGAATGAGATTGAGGTCCCCAGCAACCAA